GTGGTATGGGTCTGGGGGTATCTGTGTCTCTCACTGAGGGGCAGAGTTTATGTCCCTGTTCGGTTTTCCCAGATGCAGTCAATGTTCTCCTGCACTCCAAGGCAAGAAGGTTCTTCTGCTGTGGATTAGCCTTGTGTCTGTAGAAAAGGTGGGTGAAAGGCTCAGGACAGTTACTTTCTGACTTCTTAGTCTCACAATGCAAAGGAGACTTTCCAGAATTATTGCCCCTTCCAACTGTTCCTGTAACTGTTCACAGAAGACTCTAGAAGGGGCAACAGCCCCTTCCAATTATTCCTGTGACTGCAAATCAAGCCCAAATCACCCCTGCATTCTTAGCTCCTGAGAGGGTTCTTTGGGAATTCATTAAAATTATTAACCAAATTCTTTTCGCATTCAGTGACACTTCTCCTTGTATGTTCTTCCCATTTCTTAGATTGCAGGTGTTTCTAAAGCCTCAGCTTACATCAGTTTTAGATATGGTACTCATTTAGGGTTATCTTGTGGCCTTTGCTTTTCATTGTTATAAATCTGGAATGCTGTTCTCTCCAGTTTGCTAGGTACCACATGGAAACTAAAAGCTCAGTGTTTTTGAGAAGGTTTGGAACACCTTCACATGCATTCCCAGTTTAGAACTACAGAAGTGCCAAGCGGTGGTGACACACGCCTTTAATCCCAGCACTCAGGAGACAGAGGCAGGTGTATCTCTGTGAGTTCAAGGACAGCCTGGTCTACAAGAGCCAGTTCCAGAAGTACAGAGATATTTATTTAATGGTTAAATTACTCTGTGTAAAAATGATGTATATGGCTCTGGTTAAGGACACCCTCAGAGAACATTCTTCCTAATGAAGCAAGGCTACAAAGAACATGTTTGTTTTTCTGGCTGTCATGCTCACTCACTCTCCAGCATCTTCCCCAGTCTCTACTTTGTTCTCTGTTTTCTTCGTTGATTTATCATTGCAGTACAAGCCACATGTTTTCAATTTGGACTAATTTTATGATAAATCTCACCAAAGCTATTACGCATGTATTCCGAGCCCCTGCTCAGTTTCCCTATGTCGTGAGTTGAGCTGCAGGATCGGAGTCCCTCTTGATACCCCAGGGCAGGTGGCTTCCCAGCTCTGGACTGTTCCTCATCTGTCTGGTGTTGCTTCCTGCTCGCTGGCTGCTTTAGTCTCCTTTGCTGGTTCATTCTCGTGTTTCTGAAATGGGAATGTCTCAGGACAAGGACATTGGGTCTCTTCTCTCATGCCCTTGTTCTCCTGGTGATCTCATCTAGTCTCATGATTTTAAAATGGTCTGAACACCACAAGCTGAAATTTTCTATCGCCAGCCTGGATCAGATCCATTTAACCAGCTCCCTCTTTAATGCCTCTACTTGGTTTCCTACCCAACACCTAAGTTTCTGCTTGTCTCCAGTGAGGTTCCTGTAAGAACTGTACCCTGAACTCTCCAATGCTACAGTCTTTCCTAACTCCATGAAGCACTGCGCCACTTTTCAGTGAGTTAAAAAAATCTGGGAAGAATCTGTGCTTCCTCTAGTCCGTCCTTTTCTCATGTGTCACACTCAATTCAGCCACACTTAAAGCTTCCTTTTCAGATTTTACACAGAATTGGGAACATGTTTTTTTCTCAGTCACATTCTCCGCCACCTTGATTGCAAGTGACACTTGTCTGTTGTGAACTTGTGATCACTGGGACAGCCTGCTTTTACCTTTCAGAATGGCCTCAATTTAACACTCAGAGCAACTGATACTAACACGTGATTGATGGACCTTAAGCATTCTCCTTAGCTCACAGAGTCAAGGACCCAGTCTATGAATCGGGCTCAGTCATGAATCGGGCTGATTTTACCTCTGATGACCTCCTCCCCACCTGTCTTCTCCAGCTATATTAATTATCCAGGCAGGTTCCTCTGTCTGGACTTCACCTCATGCTTCTTCAGCCTAGGATGTTCTTCCTCTGCATACTCGAATGGTTAGCTTCTTAACTCTCCTTATGTCTGCATCCTAAAGTGAAGTTGTCTCCCTTCTCTAGAAAAGGCTGTATGCGCTCATCCTTCCTAAGGGCTTTCCAGCTCCGCCTTCCTTCACGGTGTTTTCCAACATCTGCAGTTGTCAAGTTGCTTAGATTATGTCTCTGTAACTATCTCAAACTCCTGATGGCTCCGAAACAAGAAAAATACGCTTATTGCTCAATCACATGTTTATTAATATGACTAACTTTCTGTTCTTTGTAATAACTCGGAACCAAGACTCCCTCTGGTCAGTGTACTTTGGCTAGTGCAGGGGGGAAGGATGGTTCTTACTATTCACAGTTCTATGTTCCAGCCTGAAAGTTTCACATCTTTACTTTGTGTATGGCTGGGTACTTAGCGTTAGTTACGTGACCATGACTAATCTTGGGGAGATGGAGACATACTTATTTCGTGTGTCCAGAGTAAGGAAAGTCTCATTTTTCTGGTGAGGGGGTGTTGCATGATGAATACATTGCAAGGGAAAAATGGACCAGCAACGCCATTGGCAATAAAGTACAACATCATTGTTTTAAAAGTCTGCCTGTATTTAAGGAAGGATAGGTTCTAGGGCTAGCCCGTGCCCAACCATGATGATGCTGTTATGATATTCCCCAGCCATGCAGTGAGTCAAAAATTCTCTGTCAGCGACAGGCCTGTGTTTTCTTTCTGGGCCAAATGTGGTGCTTTCCTGGGCAGACAAAAGTCCTTCATACTAGAAAGATGCGGTTTGGATTCTCAGTATGCAAACTACCCTTTCTTTCCTGCCAACACACGTGATGATTGCTCTCCATGTGGTTATGGAGAAAGTCTGTTGACTTGATGAGAGGAGGCATGTCTTGGGTTCCCTGTTTGACCTCTCCAGTTGAGTTTTATGATTCTGTAGAAACTAAAAGTTAAGAAGTGAAAGGAATAATAAGCATATTTACTTTTGACTGGGCATGGTGGAAACCTGCTCTCTCTGATATCAATGAACTGCTTAGTAGATATTTCCTACATAGGCTCCCATGCCTGGTAGAGACTGGAACTCAGAATTGTGTGTGTGTGTGGGGGGGGGGGTTGCACCTCACCAGAAGTAATGCAGATAAATAATACCTGATTACCCAAACAAACACAACTTTTGAGCCAAGATTACCCACCAGGATCTGATATCAAGGTCTCAGGGCTGTTTGGGTCTTGTTTTGTTTCATTGCTTCATGCTCTTTGGAAGGGAGTGGCTGGAATGTACTATAAAGACCTCTAATTCTGCAGTTGTGCTCAGTTTATTGCTACTTTACTTACTTCATCAAATTGCAACAACAAAGAAGAAAGGAAAGGACTAAATAATGAAGGAGAGGCTGCCAGGGAGTCACCATCCTAAAAATAAATGTAATGAAAGGAATTTAGAGAAAGCACGTACAAGAAAATAATCCTTAAATTGATTATAAGTGATTCCATGACCAATGGCTAGCCAGCAAAATTCTGTCCAGAAGGGCAATTCCAGGATTTTATGATTTCCAGCCCTCTTAATCCTGTTTTATAATTTTGCCAAAATCCCCCAGAGTTGTTGCCTTTTTGTCTGAAGTTAGCGCTTCCTGTTTGTGTTGCAGGTTCCAAGTTTGAGGTTATTATGCCACATTAGTGAATAGCTGTGCGCTTTTCAGATGACCACTGACTTAATTCTAAAGACAAGCATCTCATGCCCCTTGCCAAATGCCATGTTTGCGAGGAGAGGAGAATGGCCTGATGATCACCAGAAATGCTGTGTCTGTGATCATTGTATCCTGGCCTCTGTTAATCAAACTTGAGTTTAGGATGGAGAAACGTGGTTCATTGTAAAACCTAATCCACAGTCTAGCCTCAGTGTGTCTGCCCAGTGTCTTCCCAAGAAGAACAGACAAAATTGTTTTCAAGATTCTTCCAACTCCTTGGCTGCCAGCATTTATGAATATGATCCTTGAATCTCAACCAGACTGGACCATTAGCTTTTCACAGCTATGTTGAGGGTTTGTAGTCCATGTGGACTGCGCCTTAACCATTTTTTTTAACTGCTCTTCCAAATCCTGGTTTTGATTTGACACTTATTCTCAAAGCTAAGCCAAAGTTCATTTCTTCATTACAAGAATTTCTCTGTAAAATAAGTCTCTGCTCTCTCTAAATTCAATAAATCTCCATCATTTCATGGTGTAGTAATAATCTCTCGAGTGTCTGGTAACATCCTCCAAGATGAAAATCATATTGCTGACTCTAAGAAATGTTTGGAATGAAACTGTCAGGCATACCTCAGGGGGATAAAACCCTACACATTTATCCTTTGCTAACTTATTGCTTATAGCTGCTATTTTAAAATTTAATTTTAATTTTTAAAGATTTATTTTATGTGTTTGAGTGTTTCGCCTGCATTTATGTGTGTGCCTGGTCCACAGAGGTCAGAAGTGTGTGTCAGATCCTATGAGACTAGAATGAAAGCTGTGTGAGTGCTAAGAATGAAACCAGGGTCTTTTGCAAGAGCAAGGAGTGCTCTTAACCATCAAGCCATTTCTCTATCCCTCATATTAATTCTTTACAAAGTTTCCTCTCTTCCGTCTTTTGTCCTGCACACCCTGAATGGTCCACACCTTGGAGGCAGAGAATAATTTTCAGGAACCAGTTCTCCTTCTACCACGTGGGACCTAGGAATTAGATTCAGGTCATCCGACTTAATGACAAGCACATTTACCTGATGCAGCTTCTTGCTGGTCCTCAGATTAATCCTGAAAACATCAGCATCTCTCTCTACTGAGGTGTGAGGGTACACAATGATGTATAGTCACATGCATACTATTTAGCTTATGTCTGCATCCTTATGTTTCTAGAACTCGTTTTTTTTTTTTTTTTCCTATTTGTAAGTGTAACTTTCTAAGATATGTTTATTCTAGCCTCAGATACTGTTTTGGTCTAGCCTCAGGAAAGAAAGAAGAAAACAGTGCTTTGAACTGTTTTGTAATTGATTCACCCAGACTAGACAAGGATGGATGGAAAAGATGATGAGTACGACATGTGTAAGACTAGATAGTCTTTTCAGGTCTTTAGATATTGTGTCAGAGTCTGGGACCCAGGATAGTGCTTCCTCCTAAAGGGGAACAGGTGCCGTATGTAAGGGCATGATAGTCTATGCAGCATAAGAACAGTCAAAGATGGTATCTGGGGAATACAGGATGTGGCTTTAGAGTTGGAAAGAAAAGACAGTAAAGGAAGAAAACAGAATAAGTAAGCATAAGGAGCTGAGGGCTTTACAGACATAAGATTACAGTTAGCATAGAAAGTGTATCTATGCTTTGTAATGGAGAGACCAGCTATTCAAGCATGACATGCCTTCATATTCCCAAGGTCTTTCGTAGGACTTTGCACAGGAGCCTATCCTAAAAGATATTCAATGAGAAAAACAACCATTCCTCTTATTTAAAAAAGTAAATGTCAGTAGACCAATTGTAAATTTCATGCTAAAATCATACCAAGTTAGGATCTTTATTTTTTCTAGCACAAATAATACAGTAAGCATATACATATAAATAGCCTTTTCTGTTCAATTATCTTTTGGTTGATAGATAATTGTTTATATTTGTGGTATACAATATGATGTTTTGAAATATGTATTATTATGAAATGACTAAATCAAGCTAATTAAAAAGTGAATCACACCTATATATTTTTGTGTGTAAGGTAAGAAAAGAGTCTATAGTCATCATTTAAAAGTATATAATATACTGTTAAGCACTGCAGTCTAAAATTACAGTTAAATCTTTGGAACATAGAAAATAAAGTTTTTGTGTTAATTAAAATGGAATAGAGGCCGGCAGTTTTGATCATCTGTGGACTAGAGATGAAATGCTGTTTCCTATCAGGGACCATTGTGTCCTCAGGGAGAGCCGAGCTTTCATTGAATAATAACGTGCACATTGGGATAGACTGAGACAGTAAGTGCTGGCTTACTAGGAGGGCTTGTGACAAAGGCCAGTGGGAGTTCCAAGTAACACTGGGTCATTTAAACTTAGACAGTAAGATGAAGTGATTTGGGGGACCCAGTATATTGAATTTTAAGCAGCAAAGTCTTGAGTCCATGTCAATAGAGACATGCTAATTGCTTTAATTTTTTCATTTAGCATTGGCTAAAAATAGAATTGAGAATAGCCAATTTAAACAGCACATTTGGTTTCCAGGAGGGACCTGGACTGATAGAATTTCATTAAATTGTCGTCTGTGAAAACTTCTGAAAAGTTTTTTTAATTTAAATATGGCTCTAAACGCTTGAGCTATTTTGCCAAGAAATCGAGAGGCAGTATTTTTATTATATGGCTATCTGTAATTACCTAATATTTAAATTTTTTATTATTCATTTTTCAGAAACACGGATAAACATATGTGTATTGCGCGCGCGCGCATACACACACACACACACACACACACACACACACACACACACGAATTTAGTTTAGGAAAATACTTTTGGTTGGCTTCTGTTACAATGATTGAATTTTATGTGGCCCACGGGGGTCACATGATCTGACTCTGTTGCTCAGTTCTACACCCCTTAACTTATTACATCGTGACCTTTCAATACACCGACCACTCTTCCTTAACACCCTGCTTACCGTGTCTGATAGCCAAAAACATTGACCACTCAGCAATTGCTCATTGGTGGGAGACAGGAACACCTTGTGGTGTCATCTTGGGTTTTTAATCCTGGTATGCACATGTGTCTATTTCCCACTACCAATAAATGGCTTTGTTGGAATCTGTCATTCTCTCAGCATCATGGTTTCTGCTGCCCACTATTCTTCACTAGCTGAACCTCAACTTCTTCAGTCAACTGTATCTCCTAGCTTCTCTCCCTGGTGATTTTAAAATCAATTTATGCCACACTGGGAACTTCCAAGTACTGTGTTTCAAGAACAATCTCCCAAGAGTAACTTGTAATACCCAAAGGACAATCTCATATCTTCATTTAAAAGGTTGAATTTTTACTAGAAAGGGATAAATTTGCTTCAGAACCTCTGTTCTACATATGAGAAAAAGAAAAACACAAACTTCTTCACACTGAAAACCCTAGTTGTATTTCTACAACTTGAAAGTCAGGAAGATGTTTGCTTTTTCAGACGGGTTCATTGAGTTAGATTTTTGCTAACATTTAAAAGAAATGTTATAAAATTCTATTTTAAACCAAAGCTTGAGTCATACCTGCCTTGCAAAACTGAGAAATTTTAATAGTATGAGACCAGTAGAAAATTATACCAAGTCTCAGGCTCATTATTTCTTACCTACAAAAATCCAAATGCTACATTCACCAAAATTATAGCCATGGTTAGTAATAAGGTACACACATACTTCATTTGAGTGTGACATAAAATTCTACATTTTATTAGTATTTTAAAAAATATTTTAAGCATTTAAAGTATTTTAATTTTTACCATGAAAAAGAAACAAGAACAGATGTCAAAATAGTAATAACCCAAATAGGAATTTATTACCATAAGCAGAAGAAACTTAACTATAGCATTTGGATACTGAGGTCAAAGTTTAGGTCAAATGCCACTTTAATTGTAAGTATGAACAACACTTAAATGAATCTTTCTAGAACTGATTAATTAGGGATGAATATATACATAATAATATGGACTAAAATATAGTCTTAAAACTGAAATAACCTGAGAGTAAGTAAGAACAGCCTGTTCTGACTGTAGTTACTTCCAGGAATGTCAGTGCTTGTTGGACTGTTTTACAAAAGCCCTTATATCCTAAATAAATTGTGGCAATTACCTGTTAAAATAATTGAAATAAACTTAGTCAAAAAAAAAAGTGCTCAGGAACCCATTTCCCATGAAGGGATACTCCTTTAGCCTAGAGACACCAGGGAGGGCCTAGGCCTACCCCAAATGACTTGACAGACAGGCCTCACCCTCCCTGGGGAGTGGATGAGAGATGGGATGGGGGTCTTCAGAGGACAGGGGAGAAGGGGAGAAAGAACTGGGATTGATAAGTAAAATAAGAATAAAAATAAATAAAACATACTGTTAAAAAAATAAAAAGAAGTCCTAAATCTTGTTTTATGTGCTGTTACAGAATACCACAGACTAAATAAAGTTTATCCCAGAGTTCTTTCTGCTCAAGGCACTGCTGTGCAGATAGGTCTTCCTGATGAATCATCACTCATGAGACTGCAAGAGGGTGCCAGAGTAGGAGATGGCAAAGCTACCTTTGGATAGTGGCATTCTTGCACTCTAAGAGGAGTTGATCTGCTGGTGCCACACCCTGCAATATTTTCAGTGGGACTTGGGTTTCTTCATGTGTCACAGAGGAGACAAATCCAACCAAACCATAGCCTTCTTCAAGAGAAATTTAAGCCATTTGAAAACTGCACTCATCAGTATATGGCAAATAAAATATGGTTGTTGATCACATGTATTTGTCATTTTCCCATCTCCCTCATCCCTTACATGCCATTGAGAAGATATGCATCTCAGGATGGGAGGCCTCCGGAAGAAGTTGACTACGGGAAGTAATTGTCCTCCCTGGTTCTCCATTGTGTTACAATATAGCCCATGACACTACTTCTCCCTTGGTAAATCTATCAGCCTAGTCAAGTGGTATTAATATGTCAGCACTGGATGGTTCAGCCTGTCAGTCAATCCTCTAGCATCACCAGATGGTGAATTCTTAGCCTGAACAGTCAGTACCCTGGGGATTCTGACCTGGGTGGAAACTGTGGCTATTTTAGCTGAAGTGGGGCCCATTCTCACCACAGCTGGGCAAACATAGAAAGTGTTCCATTAGGAGGAAAATGTTTTCCCCTTCGGCCTTTGGATGTTGCTGAGTTCAAACATTATACATTTAATAGCAGACATCTTCTGGATATTTGGTGTCTTTAATGTCCTAATAAATAACAGGCTGGCTCATTGGAGTCATGCCCCGTGGGAATCACTCAGGGGTATTTGTGTGAGCAGAGCTCTCCAGGTGAACAAGGGCATGCTCCCTAAATTCTGAGAGCTCATGTTGCCTGTGGGAACCCATGCTTCATCTGCCTGCTCACCATATGCTATCCTGGGGAGGGAGTGTGCTATTCTGTTCTGGAACAGGGATCATGAGAAACTGTGGCTTGTGATACTTGCAAAAGAATTATTACAGATGAGGAAATTCAAATTTTGAGGTTATTTAAAGGTTCAGTTTGTTGCCACTGAGGTTGTTCATGTGGCCCATGGATGGGACCTCTATCACAATATTATTTTCTCTATGACTTTTACAGTGCCATTTTTCTTTAGGGGTATCTTTACATGTTCATTGAAGTCAGTATTTTCCTTATGTTTTCAGACTTATATTTGTAAATCGCAGGTCGGGATGCTTTGTGGCTGTCTCTGGAACCATGTACTGTTGTTAATTCATCTCCTGAACATTGTGAGCTCTTTAACTTCACTGTCCTTGTTTATATTTCTCTTCAACATGTGTTTTATATATGTGGAGAAAGAGTTTCATTGGTAAGTTAGGGTTCACAATGTCCAAAGTGTTTGTCCTTATCTACACTGTGCCAGGCACCTTGCCACCAGTATCCGTCAACTTAAAAGAATTTGCCTAAGAGCAATTCTGGGAATGTTTGTAATGAATGACACACACACACACACACACACACACACACACAGAGAGAGAGAGAGAGAGAGAGAGAGAGAGAGAGAGAGAGAGGGAGAGAGAGAGAGATCCACACCTCATAGTGGTAATGTACTTCCTTCCACCCACCCACACACCTCACTCTGGTATAGTCTCATGCCACGGCAGAGCAGACCCTCATCTTCCTAACTGCTTTAGTTAACCTCTGCCACTCATGGAAGGTGGAGCAAGTATCTGGCCACTACAGAACTATCACGGTTAAATAAGGATCAGGATAAACAAATGGGCCGAATAGATGTTTATTCGGGGGGAAATAACTTACAACCTAGCAGATGAACACCAGGAAATTCCACCCGATGCTCTCCTGTCCGAGTCCTGCCAGCAAGAGAGCTTTTCCCGGCTTTCC